ATTAACTACAAAAAAAAAAAGCCACAAGTGGAGCTGTGGTTCAAATGATAAAGTGCTAGCCTTGAGAATTAAAAGAAAAGCTCAAGGACAGCACCCAGGTCTTGAGTTCAGCCCTAGGACCAGCGCACACGCGCATGTGCACGCACACGCACACACACACACACACACACACACACACACACACACACACAAGGTTACGTGGAATTGGACAAGAAGTGGGGAGGACATCTTGGAGGCAAGAGATGATGGAGGTGTTTACTAGGGTTGGGAGTAGATATGGAGCCATGTAGTCAGATTCTGGATATATTTACAATTAGAGTCAATAGGACTTGGATGTGTAGAGTGAGAGAAGAGAGAGAGGGAGAGAGAGAGAGAGACAGAGACAGAGACAGAGACAGAGAGATGGAGAGATCAAAGAAATTTTTTGTGGTCTGTTGTGGGCTTGAACTCAAGGCCTAGGTGCTGTCCCTGAGCCTCTTTGTCCTCAAGGCTAGCACTCTACCACTTGAACCACAGCACCACTTCTGGTTCTGGGGTGGTTAATTAGAAATAAGAATCTCACAAGGACTTTTCTGCCTGGGCTGGCTTCCTCAGATGTTCAGGTCGCAGCTTCCTGAATAGCTAGGCTTAAAGGTGTGAGCCACCTGTGTCTGGCCCAGAAAATACTTTTTGGATGGATCAGTTATGGACTTGAGGAGTTGGAAGTTGTGGAGTTGTAAGAATGGAGGAAGATGGGGCTGGGAAGGTGGCTCAGTGGTAGAGCGCTTGCCTTGCATGCCTGAGGCCCTGGGTTCGATTCCTCAGCACCACATAAGCAAAAAGAAAAAAGCCAGAAGTGGCGCTGTGGCTCAAGTGGTAGAGCGCTAGCCTTGAGCTGAAGAGCTGAGGGACAGCGCCCAGGCCCAGAGTTCAAGCCCCACGACCGGACCCCCCACCCCCCCCAAAAAAAAAGTCTTAAAAAAAAGAATGGAGGAAGAACAGGATCCCTCACTTGAGATTAAAATCACCAAGTAAGATGATGATATTGTGGTGAAATCATGTGAGACAATGAGGCTGCCCAGTATATCTAGAGAAGGTTTTTCATCTTACAATTATTTGTTGAGCCTTGTGGTGTGCCTGGTACTGTTCTAGACTCTTGTAAGTGCCATTACTGGATCAGTGTCACATTTTTTTGGATAGCCTTATCCCATATAGATACTACACTTGCCATTTAGGGCAGGGGACGCCATGCCTAAGGCCACCTTTACTGCTCTGCCCTACCTTATCTAGCACATAATTGGGCACACACTAGCACAGTACATGCTTACTAATGAAATAATATTCAACAGATACTACAGTGAGTTTAAATTTGATGAAATCGATCATTTAGCATTACTATAATTGTAATATGATAATCCACATAGCTGTATAAGGTAATAGAAAAGCATTGAAATATTAAATCAATTTTTATTAATTGAATAATCACTTTACAAAGCCAGTATAAATTACTTAGGGAAACAACAATAACAAGAAAATAAGGGTAAGTACATTCTCCAACTTCAAAGCTACTTAGTTAAGCCTGGGCATTTTCACATTAAAATACTGCAGGTTTAGAATTATTTCAGTTAAATTTCTAGGTTAAATCTGAAAAAGACAACAAATCAAAGGACTATTATCCTCAGATCCGTCTTTGGTATCTTTATAGTTTCAGCAGGAACATTATCAGGTGGTGGGAACACTCAAGTTGGCAGTGAGAAAGTCAGCCGTTATCACTGCTGTACTAGCATTATCTAGCTTGGGATGATAGCAGTATCACAGCCTGTAAGTTCTATAAACTATGAACCCTTTCTTTGGGTGTGCTGGTCCTGGGGCTTGAACCCAGGGCCTGGGCACTCACTATCCCTGAGCTCTTTTGCTCAAGGCTGACACTCTACCACTTTGAGCCACAGTGCCACTTCTAAGTCCTCCTTTTTATGCTTGTAAATGAGGTGATACATCTGGCATACTACAACCTCAGACCTCTTGGTTTCAAATGATAAAACCAACCTACAGGAATCTAAACACCAACAGGGCAACTTTACACAATGAAGCATTTTCCCTTAGTGGTCATTTCTTATGATACCTGGTGTCAAGGACTTAGGATATTTACAGAATCAATTTGTGATTTTATAAAGGAATAATTTTAATATTTTTTTCTTACATCAGGAAACCATTTTACTTAGAAACCAAGTCAGTCATGTTAATGGGGTGTGGTAAAGAGATAGAAAGAAAGAAAACTGATTTTAAAGGAAAGTTTTTTAGGCACACATAGTATTTCAGAAAGATTCAATAAGAAAAAAATCCCTAAGAATGTTGACAAATATTCTCTAAGGCATAGCTTTGTTCAGACTAATTGTGAACTCCATATTACATGGAAATGTTTGGTTTACTTTTTCTTTTATTGTGTGCTGGCACAGGGGTTTGGACTCAGATTCTTCCTCATGGCTTTTTCTCTCCAAGACTGGCACTCTATGACTTAAGCCACAGCTCCATTTCTGGCTTTTAGTGGTTAATTGAAGAGTCTCACAGATGTCCTGGCTTCAAACCACAGTCCTCAGATCTCAGCTGAGTAACTAGGATTATAGGCGTGCATGAGCCATCAACGCCTAGCTTGGCTTATTTTTTAAAAAGATTCATAGTATTTGAGAAAGGCATAATCAGCATATTATTAATCCCTACCCTTTCTCCAATGCTTGAAAAATGACCAAAAAAACCCCTTAAATCAGGAAAATGTTGCCCTCTGAACAGGAAGAGGTGACAACTTCTAAATGTACCTCAGAACTCCAAAAAAGAGCTTGATATTACTACTGAAAAAAGGAGATGGAGGATATGATTGAAATAAATGATTATTTTGCCTTAATTGGGTTTCTTCTGTAGGAAGAAGTAACAATTTCTGCATATTTTAACTGCCTATAGCCAGTATTTTTTTTTTTTTTTTTGGTAGGTCGTGGGGCTTGAACTCTGGGCTTGGGCACTATCCTTGAACTCTTCAGCTCAAGGCGAGTGCTCTACTGCTTAAGCCACAGTGCCACTTCTGGTTTTCTAGTAGTTGATTGGAGATAAGAGTCTCATGGACTTTCCTGCCCGACTGGCTTTGAACCGTGATTCTCAGATCTCAGTCTCCTGAATAGCTAGGATTACAGGCGTGAGCCACCAGCGCCCAGCTTAGCCTGTAATATATTTATCTTCTAATATGAAGTTAGAAGTTTATTTTAAAGGTACCCTTGGACTCAAAGTGCAGGGCGTTCAACCCATTCAATGAGTGGTTGCAGTCACTCCTGCTTCATACATATGGGACTGCATGAAGAACAATGTAATTAGTCTTAAGGACCATTAAATTTAGAAATGTGTAATAGGACGTATTGTTGCCTCAAAAAACTGTTTTTAGGAGCAATAAAATCAGACTACTTGGTAAACAGGTGTCTGTATGCGTCATGACTTTTATATTACCTCACAAAGTTGTTTATTTTACAGTTGTGACAGTGTTTAAATGAAAATAATGAGTATTTGTTATTAACCAAATTAAGAGCAAGAGAAAAAGGGGATAGCATCCTCTCCCCCCCCCCCCCCCCCACACACACACATAAGATGGTAACTGCCAAGGCTGGCAAAGCTTTGTTTAGGCAATTAAGACCAAAAAAATTAGGGGATTTACTACATTGCTAATGAACTTTTAGCATTTCAAATAATGGGTAAGGATTCTTTACTAAGCAATAGTTAATACCCCAGACTAGATTATATTCTTTTGACAGATGCTGGATATCCCAAATTACACATTTTAATGTAAAAATGAAATGACCTCATTCTCCTGGCTTTAGGGGTAAATTACAATGTTTTTCAACCATTGTGTAGTATTTTTTTCTGTTTAGAAAACAAATTCTCTAATAAGCTAGTTATATGACTCTTGGCATGCCTTTGAAGGATACACTATTTTGGTTTGTAATCTTTCTATGCCTTTTTACCTTTACAGATTGCTGGTAAAAATCTAATTTTTACAAAATCCCAGACATAAAAAATTTCTCAGAACATAAATGGGCTTCAAGCATAAACTTTTATGTCTAAAGAGGGCAAAGCTTATACTTACAAGACACTATAATGGAAGAGCACCAACGTAGTTTATTTCAATACTAGTTTTTGTTGGTTTTTTGGTTGGTCATGGGGCTTGAACTCTGGGCCTGGCCCCTGCCCCTCAGTTCCTCAGCTCAGGGCAAGCACTCTACCACTTGAGCCAAGCACTTCTGGTTTTCTGGTGGTTAATTGAAGAGTCTCACAGACTTTCCTGCCTGGGCTGGCTTTGAACTGTGATGCTCAGATCTCAGCCTCCTGAGTAGCTAGGATTACAGGCCTGAGTCACCGGTGCCTGGCAATTTTTAATTTCTTAATGATGTACCATTAGTGTTCAACAATACTGAATTTAGAGAGCATGTAGAGGACTCACCATTGGAACTGTACAACTTGTTTCAATGATCGGAACTGTGGTTCTAAAAGCAAAAAGCTGCAGCATGCATGGGAAAAGTTCTCTTTTTCCCCTTGCCTCCCCCTCCACTTCGCTCTCTTTGCCCTCCCCTATCAAGTTCTTACTCTTCACGAGATCTGAGGCATTAAAATGGTACGTAAGTTGTGTAGTATGTGAACATATGTATTTCTGGGGATAACTTTCCTAACTTCCATCAACTTCCAAAAGGCTCAGAGAGGCTAAGAAACAGTACCCAATAGAACTCATCTCTTTTTGTCTATATTTTCAATGATTAAAGCCATTGCCATAGGAAATTCAATTTTGCACATACAGGCGTCAATTTTAATGGAAATGGGGTATAAAATAGCCAAGGATTACATATGGGGGAAAAAATGTAGTGTTATATCAACTATGAGTTTAGGATCATGTTGTGGTTTAGAATGGGGAAAGAGGGACAAAGTCCTCAGAGATTTGGGATAAAGCAATACCGTGAAGTTAAAATGCAACTTAATTCAAGCCCAACTTGCAGGTTCTGCAGATTATCAACTTTTTTTATTTTTGAATATCACAAACTTCAATCAGAATACTTTTAAAAATATTCTTTTGCATGCATTTAACAAATCTGACAAAAGGGCAAGTATCCAGTTTACTTGCATTTTACCTATGAAGATTTAAATGAAGAGCTGGTTAAGATATATTTAAAATCTATAGGAACACATATAGGTAACAATGAAAAAAATGTTCAACGCAATAATGCATTCTGCACCCTACCACTATGCACATGTTCATTTAGTACTACTATGACCCTGAAGCACAGGCAAATGGAGATGGAGGGTTCTCCCTAAAAGCAAGTGTAAAGGATTAAACATCGTCATCGTCATCCTCCTCCTCATCTTCGTCCTCATCATCACTACTGAGAACGAAGCTGCTGCCTGTGGAGAGAGGCCCATCTTCCTTCACATTCGCTACAGTCCCTCTTTCATCAGAATCCTCGAACAGCTTTTCATTGTAACCCTCCTCATCAAATGACTTCTCGTTGGAATTGTTGTCCTCAAACAACTTCTCATCATCGTCTTCATCTTCCTTTAGATCTGCATCTTCTTCCTTTTCATCTGAGTCTTCAAACAACTTTTCATCTGCATTATCTTCCTCCTCTTTCTCATCAGAGTCTTCACCCTCTTTTTCCTCTGCATCTTCTTCCTCTTCTTTCTCGTCGGACTCATCATCAAAAACCTTCTCATACATACCTTCTTCTTCCTCCTTTTCTTCTGAGTCTTCATCCAGTTCTCTCTCAGAGCCTTCCTCATCTAACACCCTCTCAGAACCTTCATCAAATTCAGACTTGTCAGTGTCATTTTCTTCTAACTCTTTGTCGAGGTTCTCAGCAAACTCTCTGTCAGAGCCATCCACATCAGAATCTTTATCTAGCCCATTTTCTTCTATTTCTTTTTCTGAGCATTCTTCAGACTGCTTTTCAGAGCAATCTTCTTCGGATTCTCTCTCTGAGTCTTCCTCTTCTGATTCTTTGCTGGGGCTGTCCTGTTCTTCAGATTCCTTGTCAGGGTCATTGTCTTCACAAGCTTGTGGAAGGCCATTCTCTTCACAATCGCTTTTTACTATCTTCTTAGACTCTTTTTCTGAGCCATTCTCTTTCACCTCCTTTTTAGAACTACCCTCTTCAAGCCCTTTTTCAGGACAACCTGTTTCACATTCTGTCGTGGGGCAGCTTCCTTCAGACTCTTTGGTAGGGCAACCTTCTTGCACCTCTTTCTCAGGCTCTTCTTCGTTAACATTCTTCCCTGAAGCAGCTTCTTCAAATTCTTCTACATCTTCTATCTTCTCAAACTTCTTCTCATCAATAGGTTCTTCAAATGTCATTCCAGTTGGAGCCTCTTGAACATTCACATCAGATGCGCCTGGGTGCTCTGAAAAATGCCTTACTCTAGAAGGCCCTGCCTGTTCTGGAACACAGATAGAATTTGAACGCTGAAGGCCTCTGTTTGTATCTGGTGTATTGAGGAATTCTTCCCATCCTTTCAGCCTCTCCTCTCTTTCTCTTGAGGTCTCTTCTACCTGTGGTTAAATACAAACTGCCATTAAAATGAGTTATAAGCAAAAACAAGTTTCAGCTTCTTTGAGCATTTCTAATATTGATTCAGGTTCTGTGATTTGGTAAAGCAACTGTTCATAGGAAATTCAAGTCATTCCCTTTTCTTTAGTCTTCACTTGTCAAAATTTACACCTTAACTGACCTTAAAGAAGAGCATTTAAATAACTACAAACACTACAGTATTGGAGAATAGAGAAAGGAAGAAAAACACTTTGGTTTAATATGTTCCTTTCCTATTACTGTTTTGAGCAAGCCTGAGAATCTCAGACTTACAAAAAAAAAGACGATAGCCAGACACTGTTGGCTCACACCTGTAATCCTAGCTATTCACGAAGCTGAGCACTGAGTTTTGTACTTCAAAGCCAGGCCAGGTAGGAAAGTCTGTGAGATTCTTATTTCCAATAAACTTCCAGAAAGCTGAAAGTGGAGTACAGTTTCAAATGGTAAAGTGTTAACCTTGACCAAAAAAAAAGCTCAGGGATAGTGCCTAGGTCCTGAGTTCAAGCACAGGATTAGCATACACACATGTATACACATGTGCACGTGCATGCACACACACAGACCAAAACTTTTTCCTCTATCCTCAGAATGCACATTCTTATTTGAGGAAATATTGTTATACAAAGCCATTGAACCAAAGCCCCCACTTCAATGCAAAGAACTTATAGATCAATGCTTTTAATGAAACAATTCTGTATGCCTAACAGTTGAAGATTTACCTGATAATCAGTAGTCCCATCCCATGCTTGGGCAGTGATTTGACGGCCACCAAACCACCTTCCATCAAGGGTTTGAATACAATAATCAGCTTCCTCAGGTTCCCTAAAGGACACAGAGGCTACGCCATCTGGGTGCCTCTAAAAAAAGAACAAGGAATGACAGGTAAGATTGAAACAAAACAAATTTGATAAAGTACCATTCTGATGCTTTTAGCTAACACTTCACAAATTCTTTCCTAGCCAGTAACATGCAAAAAGTTGCTGCTTTAGCTTCATCGTAACTAGCAAGAACAGTGCTCTGTCCCCAAGTTTCAGCTGTAAAGTGGGTAGAATAGTACCTACCTACATGGAAGTATTGTGAACTAACAAAATGACATAACACATAAAGTAGTTTATAGCACATAAGCAATCAATGGTGACTTTTAATTATCATGTGTCAACTTTGGAAGTAAATGAAAGACAAAAGAGGGAAAATGTGCCAGAGAATATTTTTCCTGATTGTACCAAACACAGAGGGGGCAGACAGGAAAACTGTAAAGTCTCATGTATTTTTCTTATACTTTCTTTCAATTCATCACATACTCTTTAAAAAGTGATCATAAAGAGAAATGGGACAGACGAATGAAATTTATCAACACCTTGGCTTGTAAACCATGTGTATCTTACGACAGTGGACATATAACTACCAGCCGAGAGCAGCTCTACTACATAAAAACAGTAATCTGAAGTCAAGGGCCATTCTGATGTTCAATTATCATTTAATAAGCTATAAGAATGATTTCTTTCAGATTCTTTTGTGCAGGCCATGAACTTACATCAAAGAGAAGGAGCTTCCTAATTTGCCCAAACTTTGAACATTCAACTCGCAGATCTTCTCTGATCTCATTTAACACCAGTGGATCATCCTGCAAAAACAAACCTGTGTAAGATGGATTTGGCTCTGTCTGTGAGTCTGCTTAAAGATGTTTACACTCTGCAAAGCTAAAAAAAAAATCAAAATTAAGCGAAGTTAGACTACTACAATCACTGTCACTAGTACAGGTCTGCCCGCTTTTAACATAGAGGAAAGGGAAAATCATGGCAGAGAGCAAGTGCCCACAGTGGCAAAGGAAAAAGAAGGTAATTGGGAACTGGAAATCCCAAATTAACAGCAGCTGTAAGTAGAAGTCCTGGAGTACAATTCCTCAATCACACCTTGCAAAAAGGGTGAGAGCCCTTTGTTCTGTGTTTCACACAGATTCCTAGTTACCAAAATGTAATAAGGAGATAGCCCTTTCACTGACTAAATGGTCGAAGTTTGTCTTTTTGTACTTCTAAGATTCTATTTTAATTCACAAGATAAACTTGATAATGATTCTCTTTCTAATCTCTTACCACACTACCACAGAACTACACACTACAAAGAAAAATAGCATGCATTAAACACAACTATTGTGCATGTATGCTGGTGCTTTCTTATGAGTGTGAGTGTATTAAGAAATTCAAAGCCTGGTACTGGTGGTTCATGCCTGCAATCCTGGCCACCCAGAAGGCTGAGATCTCAGGATCAGGATTTAAAGCCAGCTCAGGAAGGAAAGCCAATGAGCCTCTCATCTCCAATTAGCCATCCAAAAAGCTAGAAGTTAAGGTGTAGAATAACAGCACTGAGCTGAAAAGCCATATAACAGCATGATGCCCTAAGTTCAAGCCCCAGTGCCAGCACATACACACACAAATATCCTCCTTTTTAGATACAAAAGGTTCACAGAGGTTATCAATGCTTAGTGTCTTGGTGCCAGTCCTGGGGCTTGAACTCAAGAGTCTGGGCATTGTCCTGAAGCATCTTTGGCTCAAGGCTAGCACTCTACCACTTGAGCCAAAAAGCTAGAGTGGCACTGTGGCCACTCTATTGGAGACGCACAGACTTTTCTGACTGGGCTGGCTTTGAATTGCAATCCTCGGCTCTCAGCCTCCTGAAAAGCTAGGAATACAATGTGAGCCACTGGTACCTGGCTATGATTAGTATTCTTTTTTTGGTTGTCCGGTCATGGGGCCTGAACTCTGGGCCTGGGCGCTGTCCCTCAGCTCTTCAGCTCAAGGCTAGCGCTCTACCACTTGAGCCACAGCGCCACTTCCGGCTTTTTTCTTTTTGCTTATGTGGTGCTGAGGAACCGAACCCAGGGCTTCTGGCATGCAAGGCAAGTGCTCTACCACTGAGCCACCTTCCCAGCCCCTGATTAGTATTCTTAATGCCATTCTTCTTTTAAATTAAAATTTTTTCTAAGCTTCAGAATCAGACTCAGAAAAATCTCTATTACCAAGTCTAATTTTCACTACGAACAAATATAAATGAAGATATTCTGTGAATTTCTACTGAAGTCAATTTATACATTCCAGGAAACATTTAAGTGTATCTTTCTTACATCTTTTCCTTTTTCTTACCAATGATACACGAATTACAATGAACTACCAAAAAGTGCCTTCCCTCTCCTAATGTTCTCCCAAAAGCAAAGATAAACAACTAGTATACTGTTATTGAATTCAGATTTAGGATCCAAAACATGAAATCATAATCTTCTGCACAAATCTAAAACTGTATCTAAAACTGTATCTAGCAGACTATATTATTTTCCTACCAATTTTGAAAAAGGCATTGTTTTATGCAAAATTGTCAGACCTGTGAATAATGGAAATGGAGCATAAAGGTCTTTTGGTAATTAGGTGAAAGCTTCTGGTGATGCTGCCTGGTTAAGTCTGATAGGTTTGTGTGTTTTCAGAAAGCTGCAACCTTGTTTGCCTGAATTTTATATACTCCATGATATACAGCACAGAATGTATACACAACAATCTCAATAAAAACCTTTTCAGAGCTTGAGAAACTGTTCTTTTCTTGCAGGGTTTGAACTCATGAACTTTGAGCTTGCTAGGTAAGCTGTTTTTAACATCTCCCTTTTATTCACCAAGAAAAAAACACAGGGTTTTATCAAAAACAAAATAAAAAAAATACAGGTAAGCACATAGCAAAATCTGAATCCGAGTGGGTTCTCTGCAAGGTGGGGGGAATCATCAACTTCATTTATTTGTGAACATCTCAGTGACCTTCCTACATGACATCAATTCTTAGCCTGTCTTCTTGAACCTCTGTCTTTACTTTTAGCAGCTTGAAAAGCTAACATATCATTATTGCTTAATGCTTAAAAGATAACACTCCCTCCTTTAGGAAGAATCTAACCTAGCAAGCTGCACATGGAAATTTTCTGATGATGAGACCTTGTACAAAACCGGCCAGAGTCTAAAATCAGCCTCCTGCACTGAAAGCTTCTGCAGTCAACTCTCCAAATTCTATTTCCAGAAGAGATAAACCTGGGTCTCATGCCTTTCCAATCTAAACTTAAAATGGCTAAGTTGGGTACAGGAAATATGGCTACTCTCCAAATTGAGGTGTGCTCAAAGTGTGACATGCATAATCCCATTGCTCATTAATATTTTGGTATTCATTACATGTTTAAGTTAATATTTGAGATATACTGGTTTAAACAAAATGCCTCATTAAAGTTAATTTCAGTAGTTTTATTTCTTTTAATAGAAGCTACAGAAAAAACTGAAGTATGTATGTGGCTCAGATTGTATTTCTATTGAACACTTGTGATACGCACAAAGAGAAATTTCCCTTTGAGTGTGAGTTCTGATTCTTCATTTTTTGGTATTCAAATTTACCAAGCAATGCATTTTTTAAATAACAGAAGAATTAAATATATTAAGAACATCAGCCTTTAATGTTTACTCTGATATCAGCTTATACCTACAATCTCAAGCACTCAGGATGCTGAGGCAGTAATATCCTAAGTTCAAGGGCAGCCTGGGCTATATAATGAGACCCTGACTCAAAACAACAACAAAAAGTAGAGCTATATAACGCCTATACCACCACTGACCAATACTTTCTGTGATAATGCAACTTTATATTTGCGCTATCCAAAAGAGTACAAACCTGTATGTGTCTAGTACAAGTGAGTAACTGAAGCATATTTATGTTTAACTTAAATTTAAATAACCATTGAATAACAGTACAGGTCTTTACTAATACACTTTGAGGCCCAGGTCCACAAAGAGAGTCAATGAAAATCAAGACTTGTCATTCCTCTTCCTGACAGGGCATCATTAAGCTAGGACCACTTGAAGCCAGGCAGGTAAGCAAACAAGGGCAGTAAGCACCAACATAGACTTCTTTTCTTGTGAAATCTGAAGACCACCACTACCAATACCGTGCCCTACCACCCTGTGAGTCAAAGCAGCTGAGAAAACCTGGCTACTTTTAAAAAGATGCTAAAGATGAAAATGTTTTATCCTTTGGGTGAATAAGGACTCTGGCTTGGAAGTTCACAGGAATCCCACCTAATCACTTTCAGTTATTCTTTTTTTTTTTTTTTTTGCCAGTCTTGGAGCTTGAACTCAGGGCCTGGGCACTGTCCCTGAGCTGCTGCCGCTGCTTCTTTTTTTTTGTCAGTCATGGGCTTGAACTCTGGGCCTGGGCACTGTCCCTCAGCTCTTCAGCTCAAGGCGAGTGCTCTACCACTTGAGCCACAGTGCTACTTCCGGTTTTCTAGTGGTTTATTGGAGAGAAAAGTCTCACGGAGTTTCTTGCCTGGGCTGGTTTTGAACTGTGATCCTCAGATCTCAGCCTCCTGAGTAGCTAGGATTACAGGCATGAGACACTGGCACCCTGCAAAAGGCAGTAATCCATCAGGAAGTAAGGGAAGGGCCTTTTGAGCCAGTGTGATTTTATTCAAGTCCTTGCCTCTAGTTCACACCACCCCCTTCTGATTTTTTGGCTCTTTGTTTTTTCCCAGTCATGGGACCTGGGTGCTGTCCCTGAGCTCTTCAGCTCAAGGATAGCACTCTACCACTTGAGCCACTTCTGGCTCTTTCTGCTTATGTGGTGCTAGGAATCTAACCCAGGGCCTCATGCATGCAAGGCAAGCACTCTACCACTGAGCCACCTTCCCAGCCCCCTGAGCTTCTTTTTTCTCAAAGCTGGCACTCTACCACTTGAGACACAGCACCACTTCCAGCTTTTTCTGTTTTATGTGATACCGAGGATTTGAACCCAGGGCTTCACACATGCTAGGCAAGCAGTCTACCACTAAGGCACATTCCCAGCCCTCAGTTATTCTTCATATAAATAATACCCACTAGGATTGAAGATACAGTAGAGCAATATCATGCTTAGCATTCTCAAGATGCTGTTAGATCCTAGCAGTATAAAAATATTGTTGACATATTCATATATATTATATATACATATACACATATGTATATATCCATATATGGAAGGAGCTACAGTTTGCCAGGCAATTGTAGGTACTGGGAATACAGCATTAAGTAAACAACACAAAGTCCTGGTGCTCATGGAACTCACATACCAGCAACGAGGTAAAACTGTTTCAAGTAATAATAAATGCTATTAAGGAAACAAAACAGAATAACTGGATAGTAAACTTTATACTAAATTAAGAAAGGGTTGTTTTTATTTTTTTATTTTATTATTAATTTATTTATTTTTGCTGGTTGTGTGGCTTGAACTCTGGGCCTGGGCACTGTCCCTCAGCTCTTCAGCTCAAGGCTAGCATTCTACCATTTGAGCCACAGCACCACTTCTGGCTTTTTCTGCTTATGTGGTGCTGAGGAATCAAACCCAGGGCCTTATGCATGTGAGGCAAGCACAATACCACTGAGCCACCTTCCCAGCCCAAGAAAGGGTTGTTTTTTAAACAAGTAAAACTTTATTAAGCATGAATCTTTTATTTTGAAAAATGCCCGCTAGATAAAATTTGTAATCACCACTGTAGAATAAAATGTATCTTTTGGGAACAAATAGTATTTGTTGAGCTAGGAAAAGCTAGATGTGCCTTGGTGAAAGACTGAAATGAGGAATCTCAGTGAGCAAGGCAGGAAACAGAAGGAAGAAAAATGCATATACAGAAGAGAGGGGGGAGATAGAGAGAGAGAGAGAAAGAGAGAAAGAGAGAGGGGGAAATTCTGGAGTTGTACCTATAGAAGATTTTGTGACATATCTATTTTAAAGTCTCACTTGGCAAGGACAGAATTTCAAAAATCAACTGCAGCTAGGTGCCAGTGGTTCATGCCTACTTGGGAAGATGAGAAGAGGAGGATTGTGGTTCAAAGCCAGCTTAAGCAGAAAAGCTCACGAGACCCCCTTCTCAATTCCTAACTGAGACCAGCAGCATGTGTCTATAATCCTAGCCAGGCCAGCCCAGGCAGAGAAGTCCATGAGAGTCTGTTTCCATGATATGAAGCTGGAAACAGGGCAACTGTGCACCTGTGATCCCAGTGACAACAGGAAATCTAAAAGCAGGCAGATTGTGGCTCAGACCAGAAGCAAAACCCTATCCTAAAAATATACAGTGAAAAGCAGGGCTGGAGGCATGGCTCAGTGGATTGAGCCAGCCTAGCAAGCTTGGGGCCCTGAGTTAAAACTCAGATCCTACCAATCTCTGTCTTCCTAACAGCTGACATTGCAGGCATGAGCCAGCCCTGTACTTCTATTTTCATTTCTCTCTACTGGAGTAACTATCATTAGCAGAAAAACAATTCTTTCTCTATGATAACATGTTAAGTATGAGAAAAAATGTTCATAGTGGAAAATTCGAGTTTTACAAATGTTCCAATCCCAACTAATGTCCATTCTTGTCCTTTTGGATTTGGTTTGTAAACAGTGACAATATGAGAGCATCAATTTGGTCCCCTTAGAAAGCGTCCCTACACGGGCCATGTGAATAGTATCATAACCTGCTCCTAACAGCCACTGAAGAGTTTTGAACAATGAAGTTCTGAAAAATGCCATCCATGGTTTAATATCAAGGGCAGAATCTCATTAAACTAAGGTTTCAAATAGTCAAACTTTTGTAGGAAAATAAAATTTTCATTTGCAACTATGAAACCATCAAAACTAGTCTGTGTTTGTTGAATTGCTCTCAAAATTTGTAAGTTGTTCCCATCAGTCTTAGCACTGTGATATTTAAGTATTTCTCATATCAAGTTGCTGTTGTCTGAGGCCACAGTATGAGTATTAAACAGATCTACCTCCGATACAATTAAAAAAGAACATTGGGACTGGGTGCTGGTGACTCACACCTGTAATCTGAGCTACTCGGGAGGCTGAGATCTGAGCGTCAAAGCCAGCCCAGGTAGTAAAGTCCATGAGACTCTTATCTCCAATTAACCAACAAAAGGCCAATGGAGCTATGGATCAAGTAAAAGTGTGCTAACCTTAACAAAAATGCTAAGGGACATCACCTAGGTTTTGAGTTCATGCCATAGTACCAGCACATACACATACACAAAGAACACTGAGCTTAAACAAAGGGGAATTTAAAAAAAATTACATTGATTCTTGGCTCCATTTTCTAGACATATAAAATATGATAAGGTAAAGATGGGGCAAAGTACGCTTTGAGCACCCTTGAAAGAGGCCATATTGGTATTTCTAAGTGTTAAAAGACTTTCCTACCTCAAAATCTGTAGGGTGGAACATATTTTTGATGATGACAACTCGTTCATGGCGCATCCGGGAGGGTCCAGCTCTCCTCTCAGGTCTCCAATCCAACTGCCTAATACAATAAAATAACAGAAATTGAATTTTGGTTCAGATTAGTTGGAGAGAAAGATGTTAATATAATCTCAATCGAGTATTTAATAATGATTTTATTCTAAAAAAATAATGTGCATTTTATTCACAGTTCTACTCATACATATTTCTGAAATACAAATACTAGCAGGGGTAAAAACAAATTCAGGTTGCGTATTGATGACTTAGCTACCTGGGAGGCTGAGATCAGAGACTCACATCTCAAAACCAGCCTGAGCAGGGAAGTCTTATCTACAATTAAAAAAATAAACACCAGCGTGGTAAGAATTTCAGTGTTGAGTGAAAAAGCTAAGTAAGGTACAACATCTGGGCCCAGAGTTCAAGCCCCAATACTAGCACAAAAAAAAATTGACTCTTGATATAGCTGATTTCAATCCACACTGAAAACGAACTAAAAGTTCTAATATCCAAGCCTAAAGTATCTTAATTTGATGTTCAATATTTTCCAAACACATAGCTTCTCTTAGCTTAGTTAAGCTCCCTGTTTGTTATATGACATTACCATGCCAAATTAGTCTGCTGATTGACTACTGAACATCCTTGATGACCTAATGAATTAAAATAATCTGTAGACTTATTTGATGGAATAAAACTAGCTGGCAATTACAAAAAAACTGTATTTTAAGGTATTTACATGAGCAAAAATACATACTTTTGCTGCAGAGACAGCTTCTTCTTATAATCTCTGCACTTCTTCTTCTTCTTGGAAGCATCATATTCCCCTTTCAACTGAAACTTTGCCACCTCAACATGCAACTTGTAGCCTCTAATTTCATCTTCATCCAAAAGCTTCAATGCAAGTTCCACAGATTCTCTCTTTATAAAGGTAAAAGTAAATAGTAGTAAAATATAATCAGTAAGTCTATATTGAATCAAACTTGAAGATCTTTTTTTTTTTTTTGTCGGTTATGGGGCTTGAACTCTGGGCCTGGGCGCTCATGGACTTTCCTGCCTTGGCTGGCTTTGAACCACAATCCTCAGATCTTAGCCTCCTGAGTAGCTAGGATTACAGGCATGAGCCACCAGCTCCTGGCTCAAGATGTTTAAGGTGAATGACAACTACGTAACGTTTGGATAAAGAACCCTAGAATACAAATCAGGAAACTTGTAGGACACAGCTATACCTAACCAGTTGTGTGAACTTGGACAAGTTACTCCAAGTTCTGAGCCCTAATTTATATTGGTAAAATTAAATAGCAATGCCTTAATCACAGAGCTCATGACGAAATTAAGTAATGCATGGAAAAGTTAGGGACTAACAGCACATAGTAGATCTTAAATAAAGTATGTTAATATATATTTTTGCCTTTTTGAGTCCCAATAATGAGACAAGATGATTTGTGTGATTTCTGAGGTGCATTCCCCTTTTAAACTCCTATAATATTCCTACTTACTGAATGACTCAAGGAATTAGGAACAGTATAACTAGCCTTGAATTTTTACCTTTATCATAGAATATGTGGGTGTGATAACTAGAATATAACTATTTGATGGCTTATACACTAGATACATCACGGATTCTGGTCCTGCACAAATGAAGTAGTATCATCCCCAAACACAAAGACTTGAGGCTCAGAAGAAACACAAAAGAACAACTGAGCTGGGTGCTAGTAGCTCATGCCTGTAATCCTACCTACACAGGGGGGAGAGATCTGAGGATCCCATTTCATATCCAGATTGAGCAGGAAAAGTCCCTATCTTCAATTAACCACCAAAAAAAAAAAAAAAAACCCTCCCAGAAATAGAATTGTAGCTCAAGTGGTAAAATGCTAGCCTTGAGTGGGGAAAACAAAACAAAAACAAAAACAAACAAAAAAAAAAACGCTCAGGGAAAGCACTCAGGTACTGAGTTCATGAGTGATGACTGTTACAAGGGAAAAAAAAGACAAATTAAAACTCTTAAGAATCACTTCATGGGGCTGGGAAGGTGGTTCAGTGGTAGAGTGCTTGCCTCTCATACATGAGGCCCCGGGTTTGATTCCTCAGCACCATATAAGCAGAAAAAGCCAGAAGTGGCGCTGTGGATCAAGTGGTAGAGCGCTAGCCTTGAGCTGAAGAGCTGAAGGACAGTACCCAGGCCTAGAGTTCAGGCCCCACAACCAACAACAAAAAAAAAAATTCAGAAACTTTTAGCAACCCTTGAAGAACTTGTAAAACACCCAAATCTTACAGCAAACACTACAAAAGTGCCTTTCTACACAGTCATGGTTAAGTCCCATATCCATTTATTGTAAAAACCAGGCCAAACATATCACAACCAGGTTAAATCCTATCCATTATTCCAAAACCTGTCAGCTCAATTCTACCTGCTCCTGTTCCCACTAGGACACTGTACACTCAAAACACACCTGTGGTATTTGTACTGCCATTTATATATTTTTTGCTTTGTAATTATTTTCAGATTCTATGAAAAATGTATATGTCACTACCAGGTCCACTTCGTCTATACTTGGCAGCAATATATAATATACCCATTTAAGCTGCCAAGTGTTCCAGAAATGAAGTCTGACTTTGGCAATGAGCTTTCCCTGAGCAATTAATGGCCCCAAGACTACACAAAGCTATTCAAAATTGTTAATAGCACTCTTTCTTCTCTTCTATTTAAATCAGTAAGCATGTTATTAATCCCTGTATAGTGTAATTCAGAGACTGTAAAATTCCTTTTGTAAACAGGCAGTAAATATTCTAAGTTTTGAGGGGCCCAAGATTTATGCTGCAAGTGGTTTACCGAGAATTTTTAAAACCAAAGAAGTACCTCAGTAACTTACAGAATATTGTGTATTTTGTAAAAACAAAATACTAGTCACAAACATAGTATATATAGGAATCACCTGAAATTCCAGGTTTTTTTTAATAGCTAGTTTTGAATAACTCTTGGTTTAAGGTACCATCTATAAAAGATTACAGTTCCTGGATTCAAAATGGAAATACAAAAAACTTATTTATCATATAGCTAACCTTCAAATAACAGCAAAGCCCATCTCCTTTAAGATTTCCTTGATTATCTTTGTAAAGTTTAACCTTAAATTCTTCTGTCTGAGGATCTCTCATAATGATGCCAAACTTGGACATAAGCTGTATAAATTCATCCACTGTAATGTCTGGAGGCAAACCTGTAATTTCAGAAAAAAATGTAACTTATTAATAAAAGTTGAGAGTTCCTCACTATGCTATCAACTAGATATATACAACTTAGGATAGTACAAAGCTGATTCCTAAGTGAAATCAAAATGTTTATCTACAGACTTAAGAAAAGGTTCACATTTTTTAATGTATTCCAATATACAGTAAAATTATGCTTTCTTCTGGACCCTGAAGGGGCAAACTGACAATAAGTTTCCTAAAGAAGGCAATAAGGATGACATGCAAAGTTGCATATAGTTCAATTTTTCTAGTTCTGTAACAAGGGAAGGGGAACAACAAAATGGTGAGACAAAGGACAAAGGGGGAACCTATGCAACAGCGATACAAGAAAATATGTTGGAAATGATCTGTACAACTTAGGGGGACTGGAGGGAGGGAAAGAGGGAGAAAAATGATGGAAGGGGTAACAAGTTAAACAAGCAATGTACTCACTACCTTACTTATGTCACTTTAACCCTTCTGTACATCACCTTGACAATAAAATTTTTAAAAAGCAAATTCCTTACTAATATAAACAGCTGAATGAAAAAATGGCACATCAAATAAATGGATTCCAGACAAACTGTAAACTAAAAATCACTTTGTAAAATGTCAAATATTCCTAGGCCTAAATTTATTTTAAAAGGTATACATACCAGACACATACACATTTGTATTTCTGTCTTCTTCAACGTGAAACCATCCTAAAAATCAAAGTGAGATAAGTGCTTATAAGAGTCACATGCTAAAATTTTGACAATAAAGCACTTTTGTGAAACTTTCACGAATTGTGTTACCTTTAAGGAGATTAAGGTAAACTAACTGAAATTGCTGCTTGGCTTTAAAATATTTGACTCTCTTGATAATTAGTTTTAGAACTCCATGTAAAATAAAAGTCTTGATTCCTTTTGACTGGCATTACTTTGACAAAAACTTCATCTTACTATAATTCCTCAAAGTATGACTACATGTTCAAATACATTTTTAACTTTTTTTTGCCAGTCCTGGTGCTTGAACTCAGGACCTGGGTAACTGTCCTTGAGCTTCTTTTGCTCAAGGCCAGCACTCTCCCACTTGACCCACAGCACCACTTCCGGCTTTTTCTACTTATGTAGTACTGAGGACTTGAACCTGGGGCTTCATGCATGCTAGGCAAACATTCTACCACTAAGCCACATTCCTAGCCCAAATTTTTAACTTTTATACTCATGTTTTACCTGAGTCAGCCTTTCTTTTTTCTCCCTTCTTTTTGGGATCAGTGGGCTCAGGGGTTTTTGTTTGTGGAGATTCTTCTACAGGCTTAGTATTCGAGTCCTGGACATTTGCAGAACTAGATGCACCATCATTAGAGAAGCCATAATTAGCCTGATATGTAGCAATGAAATCTTCAGTGATCTAAACAAGAAAATCAGTAAATACACAGATAGAAATTAAAATTTATTTCTGCTCATCAAAATATAAAATGTGTTACAGTATAGTATTTTAAGTGAAAATATTACAATCCCTACAGGTAATTGTCCTAATTACACTTTACGTACAATAATGGTTACTTTATATAGAAAACGGTTAGTATAAAAAAAATAGGTAAAACTAAGATCATCAGCAGAAACATGTGAGATAAGTTAAAGCATATCCAACGATGTTGACAACTTAGTTTTAGTTATTTCATACAAAAGTACTACTTTTCTAGAGTCTACATGACTCAGGCTACAAATACATAAAACAATTGATGAATGAAACAGGTGTTAGAACTAGTTAAAGACCTCTCCAGTTCCCATTTTTTTGCTTTTCAAGCTTTGGGCAGGGAGGTACTATTTACAATGACATAAATGAAGTTATCTTCTTTTATCATTCAATAATAAGCACAAAGAGAAATGGCGAAAATGAGGAAATGGTAGAGGTTTCAATAAAATAGAAAAGCTAGAGGTGGAAATTCATCTCTTAGCAAAGTATTGCTAAAAGTACTTTAGAAGGGGGAAAGAAACCAAAAAATCTTCAACATATAGTGAAATAGTAAATCTTAGCAATTTGGAGGGATTAGAATATGTACAAATATAAAAGGGAAAAGGAAAGTTGAACTAAAGAATTTTTAAAGTAAAAAACTCACACACATAAGAGGAGTGCGGTTTTGTATTACTTGTTTGCAAGTAACTTAGCGTGCTCTTTGATACTGATGCTCCGCTTGGTAGGAGGCTTAGATTAACAGAGTACTTTTACTACAAAGTTTACAGTACCAAGTTTTTAACACTAGTTATTTTACTTCCAAGCTGAAATAAAACACTTAGCAATTTCCAAGTATTGCAAAGAAATGTACACAGATTTTTCCATCCTTGTGTGCAAGTCCATACAGATGTCAGGGCAGGAAATTTAGCACAATAATAAAAGTACGAAGAAAGTTCAATCAATAACGATATATAAATGGGTAGACTAAAAAAGCCAACAATCCACATTTTGCACATAGGACAGACGCTTAACACCTGAACAAGTAAAGGTAGCTATCTGAAATGAACAGTTATTAAAACCTGGTGTTTTTCCTCTTTGTAATAAAAGGCAGTCATCAATGTAATAACCAAGTATGACCTTCACAAACAAAATTAATAAGGCATAAACAAGAGATTTAAGAAACTATGCTAAAGATTTACCTTCCTTTACACATCGGTACTGCAACAAACAACAAAAAGACGCGTCACCACCCACGAGGGTCTAGGACCAAGGACCTCAGCCAAGCGAATGTAAAAGGAGTTGCCCGGCAAGGCTGGCCAGGGGGCCCGCTCCGCAGTGGCGCCCAGTAAGCTCTTACCTTGGGGAACCAAGCTTTCTTGTCCAGGTCCCACTCATATGGGGTATCAGTTGGCTGCTGCCCCAAAGGATCCGTTTCCCCATTGGGATCATTCTGGGTGTCGTCCTTGGTGTCTCCGTACAATTCTTGCATTCGTAACTGCTCATCAAACTCATCGTTTTTATCCAAGTTGTTGGCGCTCATGTTTCCCACCTAACCCAGGAGCTGGGTTCACAGAAGCGAAGAGGCCAAAATAACGCTGGAGAGGAGCAGAGAAAGCGAGGTCGGCCGTGCTAGCTAGCTTGACTCCTGCCCCGCCGCCCCCCGGCCCGCCTCCCTGCAGCGCCCCAGCAATCCCCGGGAAGTCGGGACCGCACCGCAATCGCACCGCCCCCGACTCCGCCCAGACGCCCACCCAGCGCACGCGCTTACGCGCATGCGCGCGCGCCATTGCCTACAAGTCGGCCGCGCAACCGCCCACCTGGTTGGCTTTGCCGGGCCTCGGTACCGCCGCTCTGTCCGGGGCTCACCGGGAGCACGCGCGCGCGCGGCTGCCGTCGGTACAACCGCCACTAAACAAATCTTGCACGACCTTAGACCTCGCGGCAACGTCAGGGATTTGAATATGAAGCTCAGGCTGACGCAGTCGCTATTTTCGGCGCGTAGCGACGTCTAGGTTACGTCGGCACGCCCACTGTGGCGTCAAAAGGCGCCGACGGGGACAGTGTTAGAGGCGGGGCGCCAGGGGGCGCCCTGCCGCCGCGTGTGCACACTCACCCAAGTCCGCCTGGGGGCGGGGCAAGGCCCACGGGGACCCACACCACCTAGGGACCTTGTGCTCGGCGGGATTCCAGGCGGGTCGGGCTGGATTTAGCCTCAGCTGTAGTTCGAATGAGAGCGTGGGAACCTTCCCATGCAGCAGCCGTAGGGCGGGTGTTGCGGCGGCCGCCATCTTGACGAAGTGGGTGGGGCGGACTGGACAAGTTTCTCCAGCTCCGGAAAAACGAGGCGCCTCCTTCGCCCCAGTGCCCCTCCCCTGTGTTGGAACCATGTCCTTTGCCTATTCGTAAAATACTGCCTCAACATAGGGTTCAACTCTTGATCGTTTTCGTCCTGCAAACACTCGGCACGCAGTGTAATGTCTAGCGGGATGTCAATGAATGACTGAATGATGTGTAGGAAGTTCAACTTTTCCTAGTCTCACCCCCTTTAAAAAAAAAATCTGGTACCTTCCTCATACTACAGTTCTCTTGTGGGAAGGAAGGAGGGGCCACAGATGCCAGCACTTAGGCTGCTGGATTGTGGGAGAGGGCTGCACTGTAAACATCCCAGCGTGTCAACACTAGCTTAATTGTCCCACTGAGTCCATTTCTACCTTTCTTTTGGAAAGGCTGCGTATACTGAGCTAAACAAAACAGCCCCACCACCGCAATCACACACATTATTGCAATTAAAGAGGTCTGTATTTTTACATGGAGAAAATATTTATTGAGTTCCTACGTGCCAGGCACTGTAGAAGGTCCTGGCCACAAAAGGCACAGCACAAGAAAGCTTAGGATGCTTGGCAGAGGATACAAGTATACGATGCTGAAGAAAGTTGACTCAACCATTTTGGTCTTTGCATCTCCTTATATTCAACAGCTATTGGAGACACAAAGACTTTTTCATATGTGAATTATATTTGTTAATATTTATTGCTGCATTATTAAAACTTTTAAAAATTATAAAAAATAAAAATGAGGGCTGGGAAGGTAGCTCAGTGGTAGAGCGCTTGCCTTGCATGCCTGAGGCCCTGGGTTCGATTCCTCAGCATCACATAAGCAAAAAGAAAAAAGCCAGAAGTGGCGCTGTGGCTCAAGTGGTAGAGCACTAGCCTTGAGCTGAAGAGCTGAGGCACAGCGCCCAGGCCCAGAGTACAGGCCCCACGACCGGACCCAAAAAAAAAAATAAAAATAAAAAATAAAATAAAAATGAATTCATATGCAAATCTCAATACTTTAATTTCTCAGTGGGAATAGCTTCCCAGACGAGACTGTTATTCCAGTGGCCTTTGCTTGTAAGCATAGTACTTGGGTCCAAGTTGTACAAAATAAATACTGGCTGCCTAATTACTCACTATAGGAATCTAGTTTCAACCAAAACTTAAAAAAAATACTTTTTGCCTGACACTGGTGGCTCACGCCTTAAATCCTAGCTACTTAGGAGGCTGAGATCTGAGGATCGTGGTTCAAACCCAACCCAGGCAGGAAAATCTGTGAGACTCTTATTTCCAATTAACCACCAAAAAGCCGGAAATGGCACTGTGGCTCAAGTAGTACAGCACTTGCCTTGAGCTGAAGACTTAAGAGACAGTGCCCAAGCCCAGAGTTCAAGACCCACCACCGACCAGAAAAAAAATAGTTTTGGTCTTCAATTACATTTTTTCCTAGACTTTTTCTTCCAGTAGGAACTATTGGATACCTGAATTTACATGTGCTTTATAACTTTTATTAGGCTAGTTTAAACCTGCGGTATTTCTTCATAGGTCTAAAAATAGAATCCATCTGTTTTCAGCAATACACTCTTAAATTCTGATTTCATCCCTGGATAACTTCACAGGATAGGTGGGTAATATGCTATGCCACCCTACTGCACAAGATAAGCTAAGTGCTTGCAGTACTCGCATGACAACTGCAAAAAAGTGACCAAAAAGTTTTCTTATACCCAAGTTTCATGTCACCTAACCACCCTGGCTCAAAGGCTGCCTGGAAACCTATGGAGGTGACCTGGTAAGGCACATGGTTTTTACACTCTATTTCACTAAATAAGCCCAGAAAAGTCTCTCCTAAGAAGCATGAGTATGAAACAAACAGGCATGTTTAGAACCAAAGCAGAAAGACCCATTAAGTCAAGTAAAGGACATATCAAAACCACCTGGGAAGTTTCCCAAGTGTAAAAGGAGCACCCAAGGCTCACTGAGTCATTTTTAACAGTGGAGCAGGGGAATTAGAAACTACACTTGTACCTGTCACACCATTGTCTTTGGACATGATGCCTGACAGTTGTGTTTTAACAATGTCCTGTTCTGTGAGGCCTGGTTCTTATTTGTGTTTATTTTCCTGTGTATTTATAGAATAACTCTCTAGTAATTAAGGTAATCTGGAAGCCTCACTGCTTTGTAACCTGCCTTTTCAAAGATATTTTACAAGTTAAATAAACACTCATGGTAACAAGCGAAAGGGAGAGGTTGTAAAGATAGGGGATGGTTCCTAATACTCCAGGACTATAATGTACATGAGACATGGTGAACCTAGGGAGAGGAGCCAGTTGAGACCCAAACAGCAGCCTTTTCTTTGACTACCTAATAGTTCCACTTTCTCTCTCAACCTTCTGACCTTGGTAAGGGGTAATCTGTGTTTTATTCCTGGCCAGGTCTTCACTTTTTCCTGGCTCCCCCCCCAACTTTTCATTAGTATCAATTAGTTATATAAGTGGGGAGTTCATTGTGACATGTCATATATTCATGCAGTGTACCTTCATTAGACTCATTCAGTCTCTCTCTCTCTCTCTCTCTCTCTCTCTCTCTCTCTCTCTCTCTCTCTCTCTCTCATAATCCCTCCCCCTCACTGCCTTGATCCTTCTGGCCATGACCTCTTGATGAATACAAGTGTATTCACTTGCAAAAGCAGATATCACCTATCTTGCTAAGGAACACTTTTTGAAAATTTGAAAAGATATACAAAACTACATTTTTAATGGTCTTTTGAAGCCCACTCAATCTTGTCTGCATATCCTGCAATCTTAAGACTTTCTAGAAATAAAAGGAACTCCTTCCAAGAAAAAGATTGATGGATGCATGACCTAAAGTTTAAATTTCAGAAATGCTTTAAAACCAAATCTAGGATGCAAGTACTATACCTTAGCACTTTCAACTTCGATGAAGACTTGCCTGCTGTACTTGTTTTTTTTTTTTTTTTTTTTGGTATATCAAACTTGAGGACTGTGTTTTCATAATTCACAATGTATTATTATGGTCCATATCCTAAAACTTGGGCAAGAGAAGACCCTGAAAAAATTGCAAGCTATGCAAGATTTGTTCTCAATTTGTCTACCTCTTCCTCTGTGTAGGACTTTCTAAAACAAATGGATCCCCCTCCCCATAAGAACACTTCCAGTACCACAGTAAACAATGTGAATGAAACTGTGAATTTTGAACTCCACTTGTAAAGTTAGCCATGACAATGATAATCTGTTAAGAGAGACCAATCTTTTCCAAAACTGAAAGCCCAATTTTAATCCTAATTTTCTAGCGAGGCCTGGGTGGATGCTGAAGCCTTATAAAACTGTTCAGGGAAATACTTCCATCAGGTTAATTCTAAGCTATGCTTAGGAAAGTACTGATGCCATTTTACTCAGAATGAGAAAACAGAAAAATAATTTGGAGTTTTGTGACTTAAAAATCACAAATCTTTGAACTACAATGGGTTCTTATATTCTTCATAAATATTATAGGATATAAAATTACACAAAGCCATGGAAACTTTTATTTCATATTTATTTGCTCTCCACTTTACATTGCCCACTTTAAAACAATATTAACACATTATCAGCACCCCTGCTTTAAGTATACCAGTTTTACAGAAATTTAAACTCTAGTGCTCCTACTACATTTTGAGCCACATCATTAGTAGCAAAAGCTCACAATTACACAAGCCATTTAAATAAAGCTCAGATCTACCAAAAAATCACACCCCAAAACTCAAATTTTTAAAAAATACAAATTTAACTCTAATGCCAAATATAAGCTTTAATTTGCTCTAAGAATACATTTTCTGAAACCACAAATCTAAATCTGACAAATCTATTGACAACGTTTTAAAGATGACAGTTACTAACAAGCTTATTTTGTTAGCATATAGATGCAGAGGACAGGAAATCAGAGCCTTCTATCTGATTTCCAAGGATGTAGACTAATTAGATCACACTCCTACAAGATTTAGGCACCCATCAAGTTGGATATTAGTCAAGCAGGAAGATGAACTGATGATGACTGCACAACCAGGTGTTATGAGTTTCATGTGGTACTTCTGCCAGTTTTTAGAAAGAGGGCACTGCTCACCCAAAAGAAATGAAGTGTCTTAAAGGAGTATTTTCCGACACTGGCAGGTTTGCAGGCTTTTGGATGAAAGTCATCCTCTGGGGCCTCTAGTGACACTGCAAATGTGGCCACTTATTCTGCCCGTGAATAAGGCGTGTTCTTTACAGCATTTGTGGAAGATATGGTTGCCTAATTACTAATGAATGGCAGTTGTGAGTAGAACTATATGAAGCCAGCAAGTGTCAACCCCAGAGAGCAGGCACCTTGTCCCAGATCTTGTCTCAGTACTTTTATATGTGCTGGCCCCCAAACATTCTCATTTTGATTGCACAGATCTAGTCATAGTGGAATCATGCTTAATAGAAAAGTGCCATCATTTTGTGAAGATATATTTTTAAAGGAAACTGCAGAAGAAACATTTTATCTCTTTTTGATCTCCCTTTCATGTGCAAAGTTGAATCCATAGATTTACACCACATAGTAAACACAAACACAATTTTATGATAACCACATGAATACATGAGAAATTAGAAGCATCAGCGATATAATGAAAACAAGTTGGATTTTAAAGTTTCATCTTGTTGTATTTCTCTTATTCAACCTCCCTAATAATTC